TTCAAAATTAGTGATCATTGGACCTTGTCCCAGCACTGCTTGTAAAGTATCAAAACAACCAGATCAGATACAGCCAGGAAATTAGCACGGAAGAAGACAACGGCAGCCACATACATCTCTCAGCTCAGGGATCCTATAAAACACTCCAAAAGATGGTGGTGTTCAAACACTGTTCACTGACGGCAACAATTCAGTCTTCATTTATTGTTATCAAATCAGTTAAGAATATGTATGTTAAGAAAATGTAGAGGTGGAAGTATGCAGTACAATATACATGGTTATTTTAAATTCCTTCCAGCGTCTATAGAAAAAGATCAGCCAACCTGAGGCCTTCCAGTCCATGAGGAACTGCTAGATGGAACATACTGGAACTTGTAGCTCCTCAGCGAATGACAGTTCGCAGGTTGTCTTTGCTTATTAGACTCATGCAGCACACCCACGTCTAGTATCCCAAGGCACCATTGCATTACTTACTACCAGCGTGAAGGAGAGATACTGATTTAGACAGTGAAAGTGCCTGAAGTAGTGACCGACCACTGACGCTGAACACACAATCTACAAGCAGGAAGAAAGCCTTACCAAAGACACTTTTGAAGCCTTGCATCTGAACGTCCAGGCAGTAAAGCATTTACCAAGCCCACCATTTACAAGCTTTCTTAGCACAGTAAACACTATCACCATTTCATAAAAGGTTTATGGCTGCTTTAAATAATCTTTTCAATGTCTGTCATCATGTTTTAAAGATCATTTTTCTATTTAACATTTGCATTCATATATTTATATCAGGGCGGCCATATTGACTTATTGCATATGCAGGCTCTGCTTTGCAGTGCTTGTGCTTTACTGATCCATCTCACAATGCAAGTCAATTATTTATCCAACTCATTGAAAACAATGCGCTACCTGTGTGGCTGATATCTCATCTGACAGTTGTTATTAAGTTAGGTAAAGTCATTGTAATAGCTTATCTACCCTGCCTCCAGTCTAATCTTCAAAACTCTACATTTAATAGAATACCAAAAATATATCAAATGTGACAGCCTCAATAAACATTACTTAACTCGTTTTTTCATGTAGGGCAAACCAATAGGTTTGTTATTTATTACTAGAGATGAGGTTGGGCTTGGCTCCAGCTCCCCAGAGTTTGCCCGAGCCCACTCAAAACTCTGACCGCCAATCCCTCCTTCCAACCCAATCAGTGGTGGAATTTGCAGAAGAGATGTTCCCTGCCCCGTTGTGACGTATAGCTGCAGGGCAGAGAATGTGTTTCACTGTAACTGATTGGGTCCGAAGGAGTGGGTGGCAGTCAGGTTTTGAGCGGACTTTGATGAATTCTAGCAAACTCGGTTCACACCAAGCCCAGACTCATCACTAGTTATAATACATCCATCCTCACCTTTGCTTTGCTTTCCCCCCATTACACTCAGCTTTCGTGACTGACGTAAATAACCGATACTTCTGAGAAGCTTTTAACAGTACTGGAGCTTTATGGTTGGCTCAGTGCTGTCATACAGGGGCTGAGAGAGTTTTCAGCCCTGCGTATGCTCCAAATGAAGTGATTTGGGGTTTACCCAGGGCTGTCTTTACTCTGAATCTGCCCAATCCTCTGGCATCTTACATCTCTTGTGGACTCCAGCAGATCAACCAGAGGAGATTTCAGCGTCTGCTATATTTTCACCTTATATCATAAAATAATAAACTCATAAGGTGAATGTGACCCACTTGTAATGCGCCTGAGTGTCTGTGTGGATTAAACCCTTAAAAAACATGTGGAAAAATGCTGAATTTATGCAGACAACAAAAGACTCATTTGACGCAAGGCTGTGGGGAAAGAAATATTGGGATTGTCACTGCTAGCCTCCTTCTAAAAATGTTATGCTGACCCTCCGGCTTCAATATTTTCGGAGTCACTGACCGAAAACATGTATGCAGATTAGGATATTTTTCGAAAGGTCGGAAACCCTAAATGCATGCTTTTTTTAGGGCCCGTGACTAAAATTATTAAATAAGGAGGGTCAGCATGACAACCAGGCAACTAGCATTTCAAGTAGAAGAGGGCAGCATTGGCAGCCTCAATGGGTCTATTATAATAGATTAGTATTTAGACCTTGAAAGTGCCCGCAGGTGCAGCAGTACCCTGAATACAATGGCGATTTCTCCACCCACGCTGTTGCTGCTTGGATGGAGGAATCAAACGATTTTCTCTGTCTCACTGAATGGCTGAAATTTGGGTTGTCTATTCCCAGCTTTAGACCATGTTTCAGACTCACTGGTGACAAAATAAATAATGTGCAGTTAAAGTGTATCTAAACTCTAACAAACATACAATTAAAAGCATTTTGTTATATCTGTTTGATAAGTTGAACTTCAGCTCATTGTTCTTAGTTGGCTCTGAGTTATCTCTATGAGTAGGAAGAGAGTCTGTGATTCTTTCTGTTACCCTTATCTAGAGTAGGTGTTGTTATCCTAGGACTGTAAAGGTGCCCATACACCTTACAACCAACGCAAGACTATTGTCTTGCGATGGTTGTAAGGTCATTAAAAAAAATGTACGAACTGCCCATCTTGGACAGGCAGATCCTACTTACGATAACCGCAAGCCCGCCCCACTAAGGGGCGGGCTTCCGATGACCGCAATGCTGAACGGGCAGTATGCGTTTGCGCACACCAGCCCGTGCGGCAATCATCTTACGGGCACGCCACAAACCAGCCATAAATCGTACGATTCTCGGCTGGTTTTCAAACATGTTCGTAAGACAAAAGTCGTGTGACCGTACAGTAGAAATGGTCGCACGCCTTCCACACACCTTGCAATTATCGTACGATCGCGGGATTTCCCGCGATTATCGTAAAGTGTGTGGGCACCTTAAGTGTGTGTCTGGCAAAATAACCAGGTGAAAATACAGAAAAAAAAGCTTGAAAAAAAGAAAACTAATGCAGCCATTTAATTCTAGTAAGCTGCATCCATTTTTGTTTTTGAGTTAAATACACTTCAACTACAAAACAAATCCAACACCACATATCAGCAGAGTAGCACTGTGTAGCAGCAATGTAGTGATATATACTCACCATCTCCAGGATCACCAATGGAGAGGTCACGGGTTAAGCGAGGCTTCCCAAGGAAATTTTTTGGAGAGGAATAAGAGTAAGAGCGGAATCTAAGACCAGAGGTTAAAGGGTCCTGCAAAACAAAATATGCTTTTATTATTTCGGGGTCAAGAATATATACACCCTTTGCATTCCCCACCCTTTTATTTTATACATATTTCTAAACATTTTAGCTTGTCATCGCCTATCTGAAAAAAAAATAAGTCACAAAGGCTCTTCTTTAAGGCTCCATTCACACATAGCGTTTGCATTTCCCGTGCGGTTTTCCATGCAGAAGACCACGCGGCACGAAAACGCTAAAATCTTTTATCTGCACTTAGCCTGGGTTCGCACCATTTTTCGGACCAGATCTGGAACATAGTGCATTGCGTTTTTACATCGATTTTGCCGTGAAAGTTTATTATTTTTTTTTAGCTTAAAATGGTGTTAAAGTGCGTTTTTGATGCGTTTTGAGGTGTTCTAGTGCATTCCAGACCAGACAAAATAGGACAATCAGTATTTTTCTGGTCTAGTCTGGTCTGGTCTGGAATGCACTGTGCTGGGAGGAACAGTGGCCGGAAATAGCATAGGGATACATTGGGATGCATTTTGGGTCCGGAAACAGTCTGGTCTGGAAACATATACGCCCTTAAAGCGTATATAAACGCAAAACCAAGAATGTCATATATTGCAGCTTACCAATCCTTAAATGCAGTGGCTGCATTTGTTTTTTTTTAGTCTTTGTTTTTTTCTTTATTTTCACTCTATGCAGGAGCAATGGAGCCACCTTTGGATAGCAACATTGTCAACCTGTGGTGAGGCTAGGTGTAAGATGCACTAGAAGATTTAGCTAGCTAATTGAATTCATTAGTCAATTCTAACAATTTTTAAGCAGTTACAACAACAGTTTATTTTTCCTTTTGGGATAAAAGTTTTACATATATGAATAAAAGCTGACCATTGTAAGAACCCTTGCCAGCGTTAAGTCATTTGTATCAACCCTCTATCTGTTTTTGCTGGACAGTTTGGTCTGTTATAGGAAGTTAAAATACAACACTGGCCAGATCATCAGGTGAAAATAAAGGAGGAAAAAGCCTAATAAAAAGAAAACAAAAGCTGCCACCACATATAAGGATTTGTAAGCTGCATCATATTAAAAAAAAAAATTTGGATTTATATATACTTTCACTTTTAGACAAGCATGCGCCAAGGTGATCCCTAGCCTATGAGCAAATTACAAGATTGCATAAAAAGATCCCAGATATGCCTTTTTTCAGGTAACGCACATACAGGTGAAACTCGAATAATTAGAATATCGTGCAAAAGTAATTGCAGTAAGTGCTGCAAAAGGGGCCCAAACCAAGTACTGAGTACATATGCATGCTTGTACTTTTCAGAGGTCCGATATTGTTCTATGTACAATCCTTTTTTGAGGTTGTGGATTTGGGGTTCTTGGGGTTTTCATGAGCTGTAAGCCATAATCATCACAATTATGACAAATCACGGCTTGAATTATCTTGCTTTGCATGTAATGAGTCTATCTCGTATATTAGTTTCACCTTTTAAGTTGCATTAGTAAAATAAATGAACTTTGCACGATATTCTAATTATTCGAGTTTCACCTGTACAGAGACTCCTGTGTTTGTAGACAGCAATCATCAAAAGTACTTTAGCAGGATCCTGATGATTTCAGTTAAGGTCTAAAAATACTGTGCGAGTAATGAAAAAGGGGAAAAGCTATATTTCCAAACTTGCTTGATTTGCCTGGATACATTACTTAAAAAGGCATTTATTCTGTAACATTGCATGTTTGTTCCTGCTGTTAATCTGGCATAAAATGTTTTTGCTTCTTGGGTGAAGACTCACAGAAGGAAAGCATGTGATGTGAATGACAATACCTTACTCTGTGCGAAGGGTAGAGTTCCAGCTGGTCTAATTTGGAAATCAGGATTAGTCTCGGGGGAGTCCAGTTCATCACCGCTGTTCCCAAGAAGGCCAGAAGAGTCCTCTTTAGCTGAACAGCCAGAATTGTCATACCTGCTATACGTGCCCTCTCCTTCACTGTCTGCATCAAGACCATCTAAACTGGAACTGCAAACCGGAGATGTCACGGTGTAAACATGTAATTATAAAGAGACATGTAACACATACAAAGCTGCCAACATAACCAGTGAAAATAACAACTTTTGGGGGGCTGAAAGTCACTGCCGATCAGATACATTATATTATAAACACAATAAAGTGGCAGATTACTTAACATGCTGAAAACAAAATTAGTTCTGGTCAAAAATAAAGCACAGTCATATGAGCACCCCACACACATTATAATTCAACCTAAATAAAACTAAAACAAATTCTACCTTCTTGTCACTATTCCATTTGGTAGGTTGGAAAGTTTGGACGCATAGGTAATCCACAAACAGAGGATTTAAAACAACAAACAAAACACAATAAGCAATAATAAATACTCAAGCATACTGAAGTTTATGTGACACTAAATTCAGGAGTTAAACCTTGAAAATGCATTCAAGGACCTTAACCATTAACAAAAATGTATCTTTTTTGTAAATCACTCGGCTGTAGATCCTCAAATCACCTCTGAATTGGTGCTGACACTGTCCTTCCTTCTGGAGGGTGGCTACTTTTGTTCCTCATGGTCTTTGTGTGTGTTGTAAAGTACCCACCGTGATGGACTATAATCGCAATACAAATTAGTAAACTAAATGTGAGATTGTAGTTCATGACAGGAATGAGCTTGGAGCGATGACTACTTTACAACACACACAGGGACCACGAGGAACAAAAGTAGCGACCCTCCAGAAAGGACAGTGTCACCCCGAATTCAGAGATAATTTGAGGATCTACAGCCGAGTCATGCACAAATAAGATACATTTTTGTAAGAGTGAGATGTACAAATAAGATTCATTTTTGTTAATAGTTAAGGAACTTGATTGCATTTTTAAGATTCAACTAATGACTTACTGTTACTTTAAACTAAACAACATGTTAAGATTTTTTTTATCTCCAGTTTTTCATCCCAAATCTATCAAATTCATCTAAATAACAGAAACAAAGCTTGTTTTGAGGGGAGGAGCTCCACTGTTGGCAAAATGAAGTTGCAACCAATCCATTAAAGATCCCTTCATGCCCCAAGGGTATGATCTGGTTGTCACAACTTCATTGGGGCGCCGCCTATGAGTCCCAGAATCCCATGGAAAATGCTATTCTTGAGGTGTATCCAGTTTCCTAATTTACTTTCTTTCCAAAAATGTTTACAAATAAGACTGTAAATCAACCCAATTTTTAAGCTCAGGCTAATAAGCTCACAATCCAGTACTGTAAGCATCCACACCCGTCTGTCAAAACTACGGTGAAACGCATTAGATCACATGTGGCGCCACTCCAACTGGGTCCTCTGACATCTATCATTGAACATGTAACATGCATGTGGTCTTTGGGCCAGCCTGGGCCTAGTTTGAATTATATGCGGACACCATCTGGGATATAGGTTTGAGCTATACCAGCTTTGTTCTCCACAATCGGTGAGCTTGATTCTTTTTGTTTATCTTTTAAGTTGTCTCCCCAATGGAGTATGACTTTTGACTTGTACACTCCTGCAGTGTAGAATTTGTTGCATCGCTGATATTGGATGCAGAACATTAAACGCTTTTGTCTTGTTGCTACGATTTTCTTCCGAATTAGGTCCCAATACAAGTTATCACCAGCACACCATGGTTAGATTAAAAGACAGGCTACATCATTGTCACAAAGAGAAAGCGGAAATGGTGCCATCCGCCATTTCACATTTTGATGACTGGGTCTGAATGCTGTATGGAGTGCACTGGATATGTGACTTCCCAATTATGGACACATCAGGAGTTTGATATAATTCACCTTCCATTCTGTAAACGTCTGCCTTGTTGACAGTGCAGATGCATATAGTGGTGTCTGTTGCAGGACTATATGATCCTACGGTTCCCTTAAGTTACAAGAAAATTTGCCCCCGAGATACCACCCTGTCCAGAAAGCATTACAAATCTGACATCACTGTACAATGTTTATGGTTTACCTTTTAGAGAGGGTACTGTGTGTGGTATATCTATCCACTAAGCCATTCATGAGAATTCAAAAGATACACTTTGGCAGCTCCCCAGGCTGAAGGACTGCCGTGTCTGTCATTATTCGTATCTTGGAGTTACCGATTATACAAAGTGCATGCTTAATCTACTATATCCCCTTTTGAAAATCCTTTCTATTTATTTGACTATGTTGAGGATCATTGGAACATTCATCCATTCAAAAGGTTTACTGCATTCTTGTTAAATATAATTAATGGCACTGTGCAAGTCGAAGCCAGAAATTATGTAACACACTGCCTTCTAAAAGGAGAATTTATTATAACATTGACACACACTTCCAGTGGATTACAATTGCAAGGCCGACATATCACAAACAATAATACATATCATTACAGTGGTAGGCGACTGGGTATAAGGCGACTGGGTGTATAAGACGATCCCCTGATTTTCTAGTTAAAACATAGGTTTTGGGCTATATTCGTCGTATAAGACTAACCCCCTTCCGAGGCTTCATATTTCCTTCTTCTTGCTGGAGCCATTATGGCGTCTTGTCTACCAGCCATTTTGTTTAAATACACCCACTAATCTGTCAGCCCGCTGGATGTGCGGTAATACTGTATGTACGGTAGCTTCGGCTACATACAGTATACCGCGCTAAGCCAATCACGGCGAGCAATGTATTCTATTAATGAATACAAAGCCTGCTCGGATTGGCATTGCGGTATACTGTATGTAGCCGAAGCTGCCGCACATACAGTATTACCGCACATCCAGCGGGCTGACAGATTAGGGACGTTCGTTTTGGGCCAGCTTGGCCATAACGAGCTATAGGTTCACATTGTACACCCCGCGTATAAGACGACCCCCGATTTTTGGTGGATGTTTTTAAGTATAAAAAGTCGTCTTAAAGGCCGGCAAATACGGTACTTCTTTCTATGCACATGGAACTGTGCAACGTTTGAATAGATGCAATGGAGACAGGGGAATCGATGCTATATTTAGACATTCATGTCTAAATATTTTAAGTGGATATTTGAGGAGGACCCATTAGTGTAGTGTTATTGTATGTTTCTACACTAGAAAACATTTTGACATACAAGAAGCCGTGTTTTGAGTAACTATATCTTTCAGGTTTTGAGCTTATTTAACGTTCACTAGCCAACTTTGGTGGACTAATACAAGGGTAGGCAAAAGGTAACCAGCTCATTCTGGAAAGCTGGACCAAAGAAAACCAAAGCAAAGGAGGTGGGTATTGTCCATAGCAACCATATTGCTTTTTTATATGAAAGACACAATCTGATTTGTTGCTCTGTTTTAATAATCTGAGAGGGAAAAAAAAATCCAACAGTAGGAAAGCTGTATGGTGTTGTACTGTGTGCTGGCCAATTACAGGTGAAACTCGAATAATTAGAATATCGTGCAAAAGTTCATTTATTTCACTAATGCAACTTAAAAGGTGAAACTAATATATGAGATAGACTCATTACATGCAAAGCAAGATAGTTCAAGCCAACCAACTGGCATGCCATGAAACAGAAGCACAGCTGAAAAACCATTTAAGTGAAGCAAGATGCTGCTCTGAAAGCAGTTTACACTAGTGTTGAAGCAATTTTCTTCTAATGACTTGTTTCTGGTGTCACTTCTATCACCATGGAGGTAAATCCCTGACATATTTGTGTCACAGTAATGAGAGAAGTTCAGTCACAGAACAAAGTGCTTCAGGTAACCGTGACTAATAGCCCGCACCCTGCAAATGCCTTTCTAAAGGTTTTATATCCAAAAAAGCAAATGCCCAAGAGTGATTGAGGGTCACTGCAAGACTCTCCTGATCTGTGTGCAAATAGTGTCATTCTGGTGTACACACAGATATGATTACAAGATTTCCCTATCTGATTTCATTTTATCTATTCATTTATTTTAATAATTACACTGTGCTCCCTGTTTAGGTCGTGTCTGAACTTTTTGTTTAGATGGAATGATGTGTGTTCATATAATTCTGCTCTAAATGGCTAATCATAACTAATTATCAATAACTTTTTTCACTGTCAATACAACTAAATAAATAAAAAAGGCAAGGCTCACATTTTGTAGCATCAACTCCCTTTAGGGCTGCAGCTAACGATTATTTTCATAATCGATTAGTTAGCCGATTATTAAGTTTGATTAATCAGTAAAAAAAAAAAGGCTCCAGTGATGGACTACTAGTTTCTATTGAGATTGTAGTCCATCACGGGAGCAAGCTTTGCTCGGTGGAAGTAAAACAAAAGTGTGGTGTGCAATATAGTACATTATACAGCATCACAATGCAGAATACCAGCAGCTTTAGAGGAATACAGCAATAGTACATTATACTATAATGTACTATTGCTGGGATTTGTAGTCCTCTGTAGCTGGCGTTATTCTGCATTGCGCTGTATATAATGTATTATTGCTGGGATTTGTAGTCCTCTATAGCTGGTGGTATTCTGCATTGCGCTGTATAATGATTATACGGCGAAATGCAGAATACCAGCAGCTATAGAGGAATACAACAAATGCCAGCAATAGTACAACATTATACTATAATGTACTATTGCTGGGATTTGTAGTCCTCTGTAACTGCTGGTATTCTGCATTGAGTTGTATAGAATGTATTATTGCTGGGATTTGTAGTCCTCTATAGCTGGTGGTATTCTCCATTGTGCTGTATAATGATTATACTGCGCAATGCAGATTACCACTGACCAGTTATAGAGGAACTACAAATCCCAGCAATAATACATTATACAGCGCAATGGAGAATACCACCAACTATAGAGGAACAACAAGTCCCAGCAATAATACATTATACCGGGTGTTTAATATATTATTGCTGGGATTTGTTGTTCCTCTATAGCTGGTGGTATTCTACAGTGTGCCGCTTTTTTTTTTTTAAAAACAGGAAACATTAAAACAGGTCTCCCTTACCTGTTTCTAAACCGTTGTGAGTCGCTGCGGCGGCGTGCTCTGCGGGCGTGTCCGGCTTGTGCGGT